GATAGCAGTGCACAGAAAAGTTCATACTTAGGAAAGACGTATGTATATGTGCATGGAAATTAACGTTTTGGTTGAGCGAGAAGTTTATAAACGCCAGTGTGTGTGTGTGGCACTTAAGAGGTTAAGTCGCATTGTAGTTTTAACGTCTAAGTACAGTATTACGGAATTTAATATATTGTTATTGAATGGGTGGGAGGGGGAAGGGGGCGATGAAAATTATAATTAAATATTGTGATATGGTCGATCTTTGTCGACCATATCGGGGGGATTCAGCGTAAGTTAGAGGTGTGGGATTCTCGAAATGAAGAGACATTTTAGAATTCTTAATATGACTTTTATTAAGAGTTTAACTTAAATTACTTATATATCGAACAAACTTATATTAAGTGAGAATAAACCGAAACACGTAGCCGTAGTTAACACAGATCGCGCAATTGGATCACTTATCTAAATAATTATTATATCCTCCTACTCTCAATCCTAATATTTCGAATTCGGAGAATAATCTTCCTACCTTGAATTCCAAGCAACGGTCCAATCAACTTCAGATATTCAGCTATGCTCGAGTGCAATAGTATGCACCTTGTATTAATGGCGAGATTTCCGTGATTCTTGGGTAGGCCGTCAAATTACACTTCTACCTTTTACAAACTGAACTTTCTCTAAATTGCCATCGCGCTTACTAAAACTTCTGTCCTTTTAAAGGCTATCTTATTTGCATCTACACCTTCGTTTCACTTCTTGGATTTGGGTTGGAAAAGATTTGCCATTAATCTTGGCCGTCAAAGAACACAGAGGTTATGTTAGAGAAAGGACGCGTGAGCCGTCACAATATTGGTTCGCAAATGTTGAAAGTTTGAGAAGCATTGGGCTAAGTAGATAAAATTACATGAAATTACTCTTGAACTAGGAGATGGGGTATAGATATAAGCGGGCAAATCTATGTACAGGGAAAATAGCTTAACACGGAAATTGAGGGGGACTGAGAAATCTTTTTTCGTGTTAAAGGATATTGCAAAAAAGAAACCTATATATTCAACAAAATTAAGCTTATCAAAGTACATTTTATTTACATAAATATGTATATATGCATGTATTTAATAAAAATTAACGAAAAAAAAGCATTCACAAGAACTTAATGAAATTTAATACAAAATTTTTCAAGTTTTTTGAAAAAAAAAATTGACTTTTTAGAAAATAATCTGGCATTTTTCTTTGCATTGTCTTTTTTATTATTAAGTTATCCAGAAAAGTTTCAATGTCGTACATTTTGTTATTCATTTCACCAATAGAATGTGCGTCTAAATAACTGCTTATGCTTTTTTCATGATGTTCCTCATTTTGGATGACTTGGGAATAGGAGATGCATTATTCATTTCATTTTCGCCGTCTTTATCTGTATCAATAATATTTTTTGAGCTTTGAACAAACTCCTAAATGTCTGCCAGTCATGATTGGGGCTATACATACATTATCATCATGTACTGACTAAGGTTTGATTCTAAGCAATGGGCACGGAAACAAATTAAAGACTTGAGGTCTAAAATTTAAATATTAAAGTTTATTTTAAAGAAAACACTTAATTTAACTAGCAACACTCAGGACATGACTTTACTCCTTCGTACCCAGACATAGAATGCCTTCTTTTTAAACCCCAGGGGGGGACAAACCATCTCTTGTAGCCGATGGAGAAGAACACTTTAGACTCTTACACATCCTCTTTAAAAGCTCATCCGTCATTCCAAGACGATGCAGCTGAAAAGAAAATTAAAAAAAAAAAAACTCAGGCATACATTCATGGCAAGAAACAAGATAACGAGAAAAAATTTTTTCCCAGATGTCACGTGAAAAGAGCTTTTGCTAATACAACTCCCAGAAAAATAGTTCTTGCAAATCAATAATACGCTAAAAATTAATATCCATACAAGTTACAAACACAAATAATACTCAAAATATATTAAAAAAAAAAGACAAGCTACTAAAAATATATCACAAAATCTAAAATAATTATACAACATGTATTAGAGCAAAGCATATTTAGAAGCCAAAGTTTTAATCTTTAGCAGTTTCAGAAATTATGGTACAAAAAAACGTTAAGTAATCGTTGGTTTAAATCTTATCTAATTAACAAGAGTAGGCAACCTGCATAATGCATTACTTTCACATGCTTAAGCCTCCAACCAAAGCGTTAATTTTATATTGTACCAGGTTTATACACACTTAAGGTGCCTGACTAGTTGCGGGAACATTTTTTTGAAATAATGCTGAAAGTTCATTTTGAAACTCATTTTTTGTTTGGTTATAACTGAAAACTTATGAAAATAACAAAGAAAAAAAAATTTCAATATATTTTTGTAAGAAAATGGACAATTTTAGATTAAAGGCATTTTTTACATCACGGCAAACACTGTAAAATAAATTCTAAGGCATAAGATGAAAAAAGCTCTTTGAATTTTATTCAGAAAGCGTTTACCTATACTTTGCTCTATCATCTTTGAATAATTTCAATTAATCACAAAATTAGGGGCCAAAAAGTGCACAAAATGAAAAATTTTCAAAAATTTTGCATTTATCACAAAGAAAAACAATCATAAAAAAGGTAAATATATTGTCTTTCCTTATTCTCTAGTGCACAGTATGCATACTATAATAATAAACAATGATGCTTAATTTCATGCATGTTTGCCATGCGATAAAATATGGAAAAATCTGTTTCGGAGAAAAACACATTTAAAGATTTAAAATCTAAAGTTAAAAAAGCTTTTCTTAACGTCTAAATGCATAGTTCTTTTAAATACAAGTTAAAGAGATAAAAAGCACACTAGAAAAACTTTATTTTGTTAAAAAATATTTTTTATATGGAAAAACAGGTATATATTTCCACTAAGTATCTTAGAGCTTAAGAAATATGTAATATAAAATATATTAATGTGTATTATTTTGTCAGTAAATATTCCCGAAAATTTCTTTTAAAAAATATTGCTTATCACAAAGGTTATAATAAATTATAATGAAAAGCATATAAAGAACAATTTTCAAAACCTCCATATGAATACACTTTGACTTTTTTTCATTCTTAGTAATTTTCTATATTCTTCCACAGAAGTTAAAATGCGTTCCAGATCAAATTTTACAAATCCATGTACAAGATCTTGGGAAGGGAAGTATTTGCATTTCTAATTATATATATGTAAGGATAATTAAATTAGATTAAAAATTAAATTCCCTATCTAGCACTTCACTTTTATTTTTTCTGCTCACCTCTTCAAGTATCAAACTAATCACCCATTTATTTTTTCCGAACATATGGCCTAGCCAATAAACATGTCTAATTCCAGATCGTTATATTTAATAGCCCTATATGTCAGCATTAACTTTCAAGAGCAATCATGTGAACGCCGCGATCAGTGTTTTAAGTGTTTAACCCACTTAAGATTTTCGGTGGCTTTCTTTTTTCTCTCTGCCTCTTGCGTCAGAAGAGATGTACTCATTCTAGAATAAAGACCTTTTTTAAAACTAAGTCTGTTTCTGACTCCAAAATCATGTCATATATATATAATGATAATAAACCTGTATATCACAAATTAAAAGGGATTAACGTTAATAATGCACTTAAGAGCGAAATGTTTCAAGTTTAATAATTGTATCTTTAAGTAAAATACTCCACAAAATCTTACTGAAAAAGGCTTTCTGAGTAAATTTCGAAACATTTATGAATAGATTTTAACTTTTTGTCACCAGATGACTAAATATTATTGGGATTAGCGCTGTGTCAACATTCTCGTTACTGCTAGCATCAATGATGAAGCAAATTGCTTAGACTTCCCAGACCTTGCTTTAGGCATAATTAATTAATATCTTGTCTTTAAGAACAGAGATTTCTATCAAATATATAAAAAAAAGTTAAATATGAAACAAAATATCGAGAAGCAAGGCAGAAGAAAATCGAAAAATGACAAAAATTTTACGAATTTATTTGCCAAATTTCACTTAAAACTAATAAATTATTATTTTTTAAAAAATATCACCATGTCCCGTCATTACCTTACCTAAGTTAATATTTTTTTTAATAAATTTGATAAACACCAAAAAAGGTGTAAAAAAAGGTATTGAAGTGCAAACACTTCCGGTTTCGATATCTAAATCTGGTTCGTTTTTGCTGCTCTTTCTTGATATAAAAACTGTTATAACTTCGTAAATAATTGAAGTACAAACAAAAGTAAGGTATTTTTAGAAAGCAGAAAATTCAACTATATAAAATTTAAAGTAAAAAAAAATATCGTCATTTTCATCAAAATTGACGTTTTTGCACTAGTCAGGCATCTTAAAAAATTTCCCTTTTTCTTTTCCCTCCAATTTCTAAGTAGAATGAAAGTAAGAAAGATCATTCTCAATCCCAAAAGCGACAAAAAGCTACCTATGCATGCTATTGTCCATAAAATATCCACACGAACCTTAAGTACTTTCGATCCTGTTTTCAACTCCAAATTAACAATACCTGTTATGAGATCACAAAACCATTTCACCAGGGTTGAATCAATAAAATTAGAAATATATATATACATTCCTTACAGGACCAACCACACACCTATTACTATACAAGATTCTATTTTACAAGCTTTTATTTAACTTGCAATGTAAAATGTTTTAGGGGAACCTTGCAACTCAATTTTGAAGCTGATTTCTTCAACGGATTGAGCTGAAATTTTGTGTGCACGTTTAGTTTGGATGACAATACATGTTTTGATCATTTATATTCAGATATCGCAATGAGTTAAAAAAAATATATTAAGGTAATTTGTTCGGGTGGAATCTCTCTTGCAACTCAATTTTGAAGCTGATGACTTCCACGGATTGAGCTGAAATTTTGTATACACGTTTAGTTTGGATGACAATGCATGTGCGTTTTGATCACTTATATTCCGATATTGACCTAGTTACTGTAACGATCTTGTTCAGGTGTTAAGGAGAGCATGTTTACAATAACAAAGGTGTCTACTGGGGGCGTAGCTCAAACGGTAGAGCTCTCGCTTAGCATGCGAGAAGTACGTGGATCGCGATACCCCGCGGCTTCTCCAATTGTTATTTTTTCGTGTAAAATATTTTTGAAATTCGTTTGATTTGTACACAACGGCATATTTTACAATACTTCCACTCAGCATCGTACAAAGTATGTTATATTTTACAAGCTTTTATTTAACTTGCAATGTAAAATATGTTCGCTGGTGGAATCTTGCAACTCAACTTTTGAAGCTGATGTCTTCAACCGATTGAGCTGAAATTTTGTATACACGTTTATATTGGATGACAATTGATATTTTGATCATTTATATTCCGATATCGCAATTAGTTAAAAATATATTAAAGTAATTTGTTCGGGTGGAATCTTGCAACTCAATTTTGAAGCTGATGTCTTCAACTGATTGAGCTGAAATTTTGTCTACACATTTAGTTTGGATGACTATGCATGCGTTTTGACCATTTATATTCCAATATCGACCTTGTTACTGTAACGATCTTGTTCAGGTGTTAAGGCGAGCATGTTTACAATAACAAAGGAATGGACCGCGGCGTAGCTCTGATGGTAGCGCGCTCGCTTATGTGTGAGAGGCACGGGAATCGATACCCGAGCCTCCAATTATTACTTTTTCGTGTAAAATATTTTTGAAATTCATTTAATTTGTACAACGAGATTTTTTCTAATGCTTCCACTTGTATACGTACAAAGTATGTTATATTTTACAAGCTTTTTTAACTTGCAATGTAAATTGTTCGGTGGAATTTTTGCAACTCAATTTTGAAGCTGATGTCTTCAACTGATTGAGCGGGAAATTTGGTATACATGCTTATTTTGGGATGAATATGCAGGTTTTGACCATTTATTACCCGGGATATCGCAATTAGTTAAAAGACTAGCTGTACGGCTTTCTGTTTTTTAAAATTTTCCCTTTTCCTTCACAAAATCAGCACTTCTAATACTCTTTTTCAAAATGATTTCCCACCCCTCCCCCTCCTCCGCTTAGCCCGAAGGTTGCCCCGGGCTTACCGAGTGTATAACTTAAAAATCCCAGTTTCGAAATTTCTTCGCTTATTTTCTTTGTCAGACAGGTTTATACCCCCTCACGTTATACCCCTTCCCTCACGTTGCACGAAAATTTTAAAAATGCGTAACCTATTGTCTCGGAAATTCCCCTTGCCCTCTCGCTAGCAGAGCTCTCAAGTAAGTGACCATTCACCGATTCTTAAGCAGCTTCATACGTGCAACCATATAGTGGCACAAAAAGTAATGAATTATTGCACAAATGAAATTCAGAAAAAAAAATTTCGACATTTTATTGTTTAAATCATTAACTGTAAAAGATCAAAGCATGAGATTTTTTAAAATCATTTTCGCATCGATTTTGATTCATTTTAGAAAAAATCATAAAATATGTAAAGTATCGTTGATTTGCTTTAAAAAAACATACTGTATCGTAACGAAATAAATTATCTTTCCAATTACAAAATTGCTGGCAAAGTTAAAATTTTGAGTATTTTTTAAAAAAATCATAAAAACTAAACGATGATTTTGTTTCGAACCCGGGTACAAAAGTTACTAAACCGGCGCTCTAAGCGACAAATTCACGAAATATTCGGAAAAAACACAAATAAAAGACCGTTGAAATAAAAGGAAGAGATATTTAATTTTGCATTGCGTTACTTGTTAAAGTTAAAAAATTTCGGGCTTCATTTTTAAGTTAATGTCTTCAGACTTCATCTAGCGGTTACAAACATTGGTAATTTTTAAACGAAAAATTGTAACAAAAATAATGCTTATATATTTGTCGCAAAAAGGGAAAAATACGGAAAACACATTTTTTATTTAACCGTAATTATTAAGCAATTTTTTCAATCTTTGTACAGATTACAAATAATATTGTTCTACACACGGAAACAAATGTTTCATGAGATTATTTTTATAATTAAAGAAATTATATTAATAAAAATTTGAGTATTTTTTGAAAAATCGTAAAAAAAAACTTTTTTGACATTTTATTTTTTAAATGACTGATTCTGAAAGAGAAAAATATGAATTTTATTAGTGTAGAATATCATTTCCTTAACGTGTCAGAAAATGCAATCGGAACGATTTAGAAATCATTTTCATAAAAACGAATCGATTTTGACTGATTTTAGAAAAAGTCGTTAAAAATAGAAAATATAATTATTTGTAAAATAAATTATACCGTATCGTGGCGCAGTAAATGATCTTTCTGATTCTGTAATTATTTTTTGTCAAAAAAATTAGATCATGTTTTAAGGTAACAGAGCACCTTCGAAGAAAATTTTTTGAATTAACCTGAATTTTGCCTGTAAATGCAGATTTTATGACCTAATGGGTCTCTAAAATTAGAAAAATACCCAAGAAAAGTTTTGTTAGTGTATATTTTTACTGTCAAAGGGGTATTTTATAAAAAAATAAGCAAAAATAAGACTTTACGCAAAACATGATAATTGAAAAGAAAATAAATATATTGACATTTTGTATATTGAATAATATAGCATACAACCTTATCTAGGGAATCGACTCTTATTTTGGTAATATAACTATTACGTGGGAAGTTATTGTGTTTCAAGCTTCTATACGTTGACATTTTCTTTAAAAGCTATTGTAATTTTCACTTTAATGCTATATAAAAAAATTTCTACACAACACAAAATCTTAAGAAAGGTCTATTCCCTGTATAAGTATTTAAAAAACATAAATATAAATTTTTTTTTTCATTCAAGCATAACTTTTTGAGATACTGTGTTTTGCGGTAAGAAAAAATGTGAAAAAACTCATTTTGAGAAAACGACAAAATAACATTAAACTCATCTGATTACAAGAAAACACTTACTTTCTTATTAAAATACACCAGATATATAATCCTTTCCCTCTTTAGCTCCTAAAACACTATTTTTTTCTTTTTAAGTGCTCTTAAAATTTTTCTGTGTTTCTTTGTTTTGGGGTCTGCGTTATGAATCGATTCACAGATTCTGCATCTATCTAAATGTTTATATACTTTTGAAGAAAATTTTTTGAATTAACCTGAATTTTGCCAGTAAATGCATATTTTATGACCTTATGGGTCTCTAAAATTAGAAAAACACCCAAGAAAAGTTTTATTAGTGTACATTTTTACGGTCAAAGGGGTATTTTATAAAAAAATAAGCAAAAATAAGATTTTACGCAAAACATTATAGTTGAAAAAAAAATAAATATATTGACATTTTGTAAATTGAATAATATAGCATACAACCTTATCTAGGGAATAGACTCTTATTTTTGGTAATGTAACCATTACGTAGGAAGTTATTGTGTTTCGAAGTTCTATACGTTGAAATTTTCTTTAAAAGCTATTGTGATTTTTACTTTATTGCTGTATAAAAAAATTTCTAATCAACACAAAATCTTAAAAAAGGTCTATTCCCTGTATAAGTATTTAAAAAACATACATATAAAATTTTTATTTCATTCAAGCATAACTTTTTGAGATATTGTGTTTTGCGGTAAGAAAAATGTGAAAAACTTATTTTGAGAAAACGACAAAAAATAACATTAAACTCATCTGATTACAAGAAAAACACTTACTTTCTTATTAAAATGCACCAGATTTATAATTCTTCCCATCTTTTACTTCTAAAACACTATTTTTTTTCTTTTTAAGTGCTCTTAAAATTTTCCTGTGTTTCTTTGTTTTGGGGTCTGCATTATGAATTGATTCACGGATTCTGCATTTATCTAAATGTTTATATCCCCGTAAGGTAAACACCCCAGGATTTTCTATATTCATCTTGTTAAAAACCTTTAGACACCCACTTAATCCTTCATTGAAGTGTATAATAGCATCATACGACCCAAATTTAATTGTTTTGAGCGAAACAAATACTTCCTTCGGTACTTTTTGCCAAACTATTCCATTAAAACACTCGTTGGCATTTTGCGTACGTCCATGTAAGCACTTGCTTAATATCTGTTTGTCACATAGTTCTAAATATACTGGTTTAATTTTATTTAAAACATCATTTGATAAACCAGCATATTTTGTGGAACATTTTGTTCCATTTGCCACCCCCGCTGAAAATAACACCAACTTTCTTTCCCTATGGGGCATTGACCATGCATCGGTTTCTTATCACTTGATGCACAGTGATATAACGCAGCAATTACATTTTGCTGCATGGCATTTAAGTTACCAACATTGCTGCGAACAGCAATTCCGTAGTAGTTTTGAAGTCTGTCGATAAAATTATCAGTTAATTTGCCTTACCAGAGAGTCCTTTAGTTTTAAATTTCAGTTTTCTCAGACGTGAGCCCACTTCTTTTGTATAGGCCAATGCACTCAAACTTGGTCACACTGTTTATTCCATAAGTGTCTTTAACACTCATAAAAGCTTTTGAGTCACCATCCCCATAATATTGAGTGTATTGAAGTCTGCGGTTTTTTCTGATCGAAGAAATATTCGGGAAGCCCCCACAATTTCCATTTTTGATGAAGAGCCTGTGAAGTTACACTGACATATGTGGTCGGCTTTTGACGACTCATATTCAAAGTTTCTTGGCATAGTCTGAAGTCTCTTACATGTAGACAGTAGGACGACATAACTTCTACTTCTAACACCTTACCAGTATCAACTGATATAGCAGCAACACAGCCATTCATAGACGTATAGCCTCTACGCTGCCATGTTCCATCCACCGATATGCCACATTTTACAATATCAGATGAGAGATTTTGTTTTTCTCCATACTTCGGTTGCAGCTTTTATCATGGATTCCTCAGCTACTTCTTGAACCACTTTTAAAAGCTTTGCTTCCTGATTTTTGTAAGCAGTTTTGGTTAGTCGAGGCAAATTTAATGTTGAGCATAATTTAAATGCCCCAGCAAAACCTTTGCCTATCTGCCGCATACCATATACAAGCCTCGTATTTATGACAGGTGCATTTACAACTTTTTTTGATGAAGCAAATGCAAAGAAAAAGTCACAAGACTTACATTTTAGTGTAAAATGGGAGCACAATCCATATCTGGAATCCTCAAATAGTTCTACT